TTGCAGAGGATTTCAATAGGGAGGATGCAGCCCTGGATTCTGAGCCAGTCTGGCAGGTGGGTTGTTAGGAGCCAAGCAGGTGACCTGACAGAAAACCTGGCAGGTTTAACTGAAACCAAACCAACTCCACCAAAACACTTGTATTTCAACAAATGCTAAACTTCAAAGAAACACTTCACTGGAATATTTCTGACCAGCTCTAGGTCCTAGGACTGGGTGGGTTGCTGTGTTTACACTCCAAATGCTTGGTCCAATCTGCTCCATTCCACAAGCAAAGTATTTGATCTTGAGAAGTATTTTATGAGCCCCGGGGTTGAGTCATCTCTGGCAGCGATGCTTTATCACATGCAGGGAGAGAGTAAATGTCTGCAGTGGCAGGGAAAAGCACCTCAGCTTCGTTTTGGATTTGGAATATTAACAGAGAGCCCCCAGAAAGAAAGCATGGTTTTGTGGTTAAGGAGCTGGTTTGGAGTTTGCGCGATGTGTGCTCAATTCTGGCTGTCACAGCCTTTCTGTCTCACCTGAGGCAAGTCATTTTATAGCCCAGGCCTCAGTTCCCCATCTCTAAAATGGAAATAAATCTTTCTTTGTTGGTCTTGTCCATTCAGATAAGAAGTGTTGTGGGGCAGGGTGTCTGTACAGTGCCTAGCATCATGGGGCCCTGATCTTACCTCTAGGTTCTGTTGCAACATTAATAATCCCCCAAGAACGCACTCCTGCGCACCAGCTGGTCCTGGATCTCAAGAGATGAAAAGGCAAGTCCAGCAACCTCCATGGCTATCTAGTCCCTATATCTTTTCATACCAAATTTCAAGGCAGAGAAATTCTATTAACACCCTCATTGAAACCTTGATTATGATGGAAACACTGACTGGGCATTAGCTACATTGGTGCAAACCTCAACAGTGTAACTATAGTACAGAGGTAAAAGGACTCTTCAGTCCCCGGGACTCCCTGCCCGGGACTCCCTGCCCCTTATCCTACCCCCACCCCGGCTCTGGCCGCTTACCCCCTCTCCCGGGGCCTCAGCACGCGCCTCCAGGAGCGTCCCTGGACAGCGCTGCAGCCGCGTGCCTCCGGCGGGGCCTGAACTCCTCCCCGCTCAGAGCTGCGTGGTAAGGGGGCGGGGCTGTGAGCTCCATTGGGACCGGAGCTCCCGCTGCTCGGCCTGGAGCTCGCAGCCCCGCCCCCTTACCATGCGGCTCTGAGCGGGAAGGAGTTCAAGCCCCGCCGTAGGCACGCGGCTGCAGCGCTGTCCAGGGTTGCTCCTGGACGCGTGCGCTGAGGTGCCGGGGGGATGGGGGATGGCGGGGGAGCCTCAGCCCTTCTCGTGGGGGCCCCTGTGGGGCCCGGGGCCTGGGGCAAATTGCCCCACTTGCTCCTCCATCTGGGCGGCCCTGAAGATGTCACTTTAAAGAGGAGGAATAAGTGATAGAATTTTCATTTAGGCCTTAAAGTGAGGTTAATGACGAGATTTCCCCAAATGGAAATGTTCTCATTATTTTAAGAAAATAGCTACCATATATTTAACATTTCTCTGTGGTGGTGGCACTATGCTAATGAACTGTACTACTTAATGTATGGTAGGTCAGTGAGAAACAATCAACACCTAATTTAACTGCATGATCAGTTCGCTGTGTCTGCGCCTGCTTAGGCTTCATGGTGACTTGCTCGATAACATTCTACATTGTAGAGGAACACAAAATGGTGGCTGTGTCACAGTTGCCCTTGCAACAGACAAGGAGACTGCTCTATATTTAAGGATGAATACTCAGAAAACAGGATGACAGTTCTTTTCAGTTGCCTGGCAGAAAGTGCCACCTAAATAAGGAGGATAAATATCAACTTGATTGTTAATGCTTTTAGGTTAGCATTTAATAATTTAAGGTGTTAACTGGTATCAGAGATAAGGATTTTTAAAATATTTAATCTTGACAGCATCCATTTAGCTGGTTGTGTGACCTGAATTTAACTTGACATACTTATTAATCTCTTACATTGTGTTTGAATATTTGCCATATTTATCACTTCAAATCTTTTACTTTTGTTCTTACCTGTTAAGTAAACAGTTGAAGAATAAAGAGGGAGAATTGACTACTAAGGTTACAGGTTTTTAGATTTCATTTTCTTTCTTAACAGTAGTCCTTCAACTGATAATGATTAATGTTGACATATACTTCTGAATGCTGTACGCAAATGGAAAGTATATCTAAACTAGCTGTTCAAGTGCTACTACTGACAATGATAAATGCATGAGGTCAGTGGTTTGTTTTTGCTGCCATTAGTTACTGTTATTATGACCTGATGAAAAGCATTGTGATTGTTCATCCACTAATGAGGAAAGGGAATCCAGAGAGAAATAAATTGCCATGTTTCCAGTTCATAGGACTAAGCTGTTTAATAGAGAAAAGAAACAAACTCCAAAACCTTTAGTCATTTCCCGACAGAAGTCTCTGCACTTGAATATTAAATAGACAAACCCTAAAGTTTCATTCTAGAAAGAGGAATTTTAAATGTATCTGGAATAAAATAACTGTAAGATGAGCATGTTTTAGGCCAAAAAATAATGCTGATTATTAACTGTAACTTTTCATAGTCATCCCTATGGACCACTTTCTTTCCCAAGTGTGAGGGATGTTGTATTGTGAATGGCCCCAGCCTCATTGCACTACTGTAAGCAACCCCACTATGGGTATCAGTTATGGTACATTAAGCCCTTTCAGAAACTTGGTAGTGTGCTCCTTGTACTATGAGCTTGGAAGCAATCATTGTAGGTGATCTCCCTAAAATGTAAACTGGTCCATACCCACCTCAAACTAAAAGTGACACACTTGTTGTAAGATTAGCAAGTCCTCCCTCTTGGAGCATAGTTTTACTAACAAAAAGATAGTTTCAAACTAGCCCACATGAATCCCAAATGAAAAACCAGCCTGAGCAGAGGCCAAAAGGAGCTGGACTAGCAGCAGCTGAGGACACATGGCAGATACCGAGTAATTTCTAACAGCGAAAAGGAAGCAGACAGGCTCTCTCAAATAAAAGGCTGAGCAAGGCTGGTTGTTGACCATGGAGGAGAGAGGGCCGTTGATTTACGGATATCAAATATGGAGTTGGGGGATTAGGGGGAGTATCCAGAGAATTATAGACCTATGATAATGGCTATGGGCTATTAAGAATGGAATACCTAATACAGTAACGGCAGGATGGGTCTTAGTGTGTCATACAGGAGAAGAAAGAGTCAAGTAGAAGAGACAGCTAAGAGATAACATGGAGGATGTGCCACTGCAACCACTATGCAGCACCCAGACACAAGGGGGCGATAATGCCACACCTATTTGTGTGAGAATTGTGTGTAGGCTGAAAGCAATTTACCAACATTGGAATTTGGCCAGGACACAAATGTATCATTCCTGTTTGTGCAATGCATGTCTTGGGATCTCTACAAAGCCTTTGCAAACTAAGGGGGTTACATTTGCTCTGGATGCTGGGACCTCAACAACACAATATGCTTCAATACAGTGCTGGGGCATTAGGTCGGTACAGATGGAGAAGGCCACCTACAACATCAGCAACTCTCCCTTTAGCACCTAGATTTCTGTTGGAGATTTCCCAAATGCATACAGATCACCAATGCTTAGTTTGTCAGATTGGACGTGATCACAGCCTGATGTTTTATATTGGAAAATATTGATTTAAAAGAGACTTGAAAAGCTTTAGTTATAAACAGAATCACTTATGATTTAGTGTATGTGAGAGAGCTTATAATTAGTTTAGACATTAGAACATGTAACGCTCAGGTGAAAACTGGTAGTATCTTATCTTATAATTGGGGATAGCACCCCTCATTAATCCAATCCATTACCCAAGAGAAGGATTTGTATTCTGTTTATCCAAACTAGCAGCATGCCCTATTCTTTTAATGAACAGCTCACAGTAGGCCATTGTTTCCCCTCTAGGTTTTATATATGAAAGATTTACAAGAAATGTTTTCATTTGGATACGTTTGTTGTGTGAGGGCCTGACAGTGATGTAAACAATCTAATTATAAAGGGGCAAAAGCTACACTTTGAATAGTGCAGTGAACAGGCAGATCAGGTGAATCTGCCAAAATGTGAGTGGCATGAAATATAGGGCTATCCATAATAAACGTCGTACGGCGCTGTGAAAACACAAGTCATGCAGAACTAATCTAGGTGTTTATTTTCTACCATCTGCACCTGGCTAGCCAGATTTATGAAGCTGTTCCCAACATGACTTATTAAACAAAAGCATTCCATATCTCTCCTCTAAGGTTTAACAACCTGCTTTGTATCTTACTTTATTAATCCAAGAGCATTTGGGCACAAAATGCACAGTAGCTTAAATACTCCTGGATACAATTACAACTATCCTTGGAGCCTTCTGAAAACTGATGTATTTTTTGTGTAATCAAATGTAATGTGCATGTGTTTTTCTTTACACTTGAGACTGTTTAGCTGATTAACTGGGCAATGTGCTGAATTTTAGCTTGTGAATTATAGAGTTTACAATACGGTACAGTAACTATCATTCTAAACCGCAGCACTTTTATTTCTAACACGGATGGTGGCTTCCCTTGGATAGTGGTGGATGTTGATGAGGATGTGGAACTAGTCTTCCCTGGCTGGTAGGAGAAGGACAAGAGGTAGCTAATTTCCCATGGATTGTGGTAAGTGAGTGGGGTCCTAGGTTTCTTCCCCATAACGGCTTTTTAAATTCCAGACAGACTGAGGTGAACTAAAAGTGGCTTTCAATTTTTTGACATAAAGCTGAAATATTTCACCGGGGAGGTGGAGGGTGGAAAGTATTTTATGTTCAGCTCTAATATCTGCATAAGAACAAACTACCATTCTTTGTAAGGAAAATTCATCCATTGGCTGATTTCTTCTGTTCTTCTTTTACCATTTGAAAACATTAATAAACCAGAAGGAAGTCTCTTCTACTAAATCCTTAGTCTCCCTCTTTAATGTATTGAGTCATTGCTGTCAGTCTGAAGGCCTGTGTTTGAGTTTCTGATAGATTTCTGATCCAAGAAACCTGGGATATGAATCCCTTTCCATGTGCATGTAAACTATTCTCTGAGCTTCATCAAAACAGGATTGAGTTGGTTCTTGAATATTCCTGATAATAGCTTCCCTTGCAGGACTATCAATGTTAATCTGAAAAATAAAACAATATTAAAGAAAGTTACAACAAAAATACAGAGGAGAAAAATAGGGTACTGCAAAGATGAAGCTTGGTAGGCTGCAGCCTATGCCTTACATCCATATGATCAACTTTGGCACCATGTTCTCTATGTTGAAAAGGAGCTACAGGAGAGAGATTATTAAGAAAAATAAAAATCTAGTATTTAAAAATCTTGGTATAAAAGTGTTCGCCTCCCCCCACTTAAAGTTAGGTTCCTATATCTATTTATTTATCTAAATTGAAGGCCTGTTTTTCAGACATTCTGGCCAACTGAAATCAGTGGGAGCCATTGGGTGCTCATCACATCACTTTTGAAAATCAGGCTTCTGAAGTTACGGAATATTTTACAACAAATATTGTACATCAATCCTGATTAGGAAATGGGTTATTGTGTAAGAGACTCAGGAGTCAGATGAGGATTTGCAGTGGATGAGTGGAAGCTTTGTGGATGTCTAAGAGCTTAATCTACTGGTGGTGTTTACCTTTCTGATAGAAAGGTACTTCAAACAAAAGTTGAACCTCACCATAATCTAGGAGATTGACCAAGGCAATTGCAGTTCAACTAAACATTTTGTACTTAGATTTGCTCTGTTAAGTTGCACTTATTGGAGACTGAAAGAGGAGCTGGAGGCATGTGAATTAATGAGTGTAACCGTTGATGTGTGGAGACCTTGCTGTACCAAGGGTGTTTTTTAAAGTGCAATCTACTCATTCCCTAATACTATTGCATTTTTGTTTTGAATACAGACTATGTTGAGATCACCATCAGCTTCCATTTTAAAAAGAAAGTTTCAAGCCCTCATGTTTGCAGAGAAAAACTTGAAAACAGGAAGCGTGTTCCCAAAGACTCAAAACCAGAAGGCAAACTAAGAATTCACAATTTATTATTTAAAAATTTTGTTATGCTGATCTCATGATTTTGAGAACTGACTCATGATTATTCAATGCTTGAGGCTGTCAATACTGATAAGCAAAAGGGAGGTTATCTGTCTCTAAGCATGTGTATTTTTTTTGTACATTTGTGATTGAATTTCCTATAAATGCCCATGAAAAGCTCAAATAAAAAAACAGCAGGCAGGCCAACCAATCCCTCCTCTCTCTTTCTCTCACCCTCCCCCCCCAAAGCCTCAAAACAAAAAAACTCTCAAACTCCTCATAATGTTTAAAATAATCCCATGAATTTTTGAGCCAGTCTCATGAATTTTCAACTTTCAGGGGTGACTCCAACCTTAGCCTGGCATCTGAGAATCAAACTGAGCTCTTTCTAGCCCTCACATCTCCAGCAATTTGTATTGTGCATTTTGAATTTAGTTAACAATTCTGTTGCTGAAGCATGAGCCAGAAAAAAATCTAGCCTCACTCTACCAGTGCTGTTTTGGACCTGCAGTGGTAATGAGTAAAAAGGAGATTAATTTATTTTTGTCAGTAACGTGAGAAGATATGATTCTGAAGACACCTAGAAATGATCTGCTGGGTGTCATGTTTATATAGTGTTTTAACAGAAAAGAACCACCCTTTAATATTAATCCCTGTTCATACAGCCAAATGTGGTCTGTTTTTCCTAAAAATTGTCCATGTTTTTATTAGAGAATTATTAAGGATTGATTTACTGAAGTAGCTTAACCATTTGGAATGAATTACTTCCATTTTTCTTACTTCTTCAGTGCTTTTGGGAACTTGATGGTCTTTTAGCATGCTTCTGCCAACTCTCAAAAGGGATGGAACTGGGTAGAGATTTCACTTAATTTCCAGGTACTGGACTAAGTAAGGGTCACATTCAAAGTCTACTGAAGTGTTTGGAAAGACTCCCATTGGCATCAACAGGCTTTGTACAATGCCCTAAAAGTATGGACCCCTCCCCTCCCCAGGAATTTAGTTCTAGACTCTGTTCTGGCACTGACTCCCTCTGTGGCCTGGGGCAAAGAATTTTACCTATCTGCCTCAGTTTCTTATCTGAAATGAGGTTAAAAATACTTAATTACTTGCTTCACAAAGGTGCTGTGAAGATGATTAATCAAGTAAACATCTTTACACTGCTTTGTACAGTGAGTGCCATTGCCAAGTATTTATTGTTGCATTTTGCAAGCTGCTGCTTTCAGTTTCAACAGATACCACATGCATGTTTTTAATATAAACAGGTGTGTGTGTGTGTGTGTGTGTGTGTGTGTGTGTGTGTACACACATGGGAGGGAAGGACAGAGCAGTTCTTGCAATGTTAATTCACCTCTTTAGGCGCCTGGGGCTGAATGTAATTTTTAAAAATTCTCCTGGCCACAGAAATCCTTTTCCTCCGTGATTCAATCTTCTTGTAAGTTTCACATGCAAGCCAGAATTCAATGTTCTCATCACTGTATTCTGTCTTCAGGTAGGTCTTGTAGATTATAGGCCCATCTGAAAATATTTCAGAAGTCAAACTTTATAAACTATAAATGATAGCATTTAGGAAGATAATTGTCAAACAGGTTTTGCTTAGCTCTGAGTGAAAAATGACTAGACGAGGATTATGGACCAGTTTTGGTACTTTTTCTCATGTTGAATAGTTTCTGACTCCACAAGAAATCCTACAGAAGACAATGGGGCTACTCATGCGATAAGGTACTACCCATGGTCAGTATGTGTATCACAGACTACTTCAGGGGCGCTGGAACAATTTTTATAGTGGGGGTGCTGAGAGCCATTGAACCAAACTGTAAACCCTGTATATAATGGAAACCATTTCAGTCCAGGGGGTGCTGCAGCACTCTTAGTTCCAGCACCTATGGACTACTTTTAAATCTTCTGGCCCTTTTTGTTTTATATTTACATAAAATGTGAGACTGTTAATAGAATGGTTTTAAAAGAATATTTAGGGGATAACTGGCCACTCAATGTGACATATAAAAGTTTCAGACTTCAATATTCATTTTGTACATGCTCAGAACTCCCTTAACATCAGTGAGAGCTGCACATGTGCAGAAAGAGCAGAATATCAAAGAAAAAATTTCCTCTTCCTTTGGTTTAAAATCACACAACACGTATACATCTGTTATAAGGGTGATAATTATTTTAAAAATTTAGCTCTACATCAGAGTGAAAAACATCTAAACATCAAAAAATCATGATCTAACTGGGAAAAAGGGAAGGCTTTTATAGATTCATAGACTTTAAGGTCAGAAGGGACCATTCTGATCATCTAGTCCGACCTCCTGCACAACGCAGGCCACAGAATGTCACCCACTCACTCCTGTAACAAACCCCTAACCTATATCTGAGCCATTGAAGTCCTCAAATCATTGTTTAAAGATTTCAAGGTGCAGAGAATCCTCCAGCAAGTGACCCGTGCCCCATGCTACAGAGGAAGGCAAAAAACCCCCAGAGCCTCTGCCAATCTGCCCTGGGGGAAAATTCCTTCCTGACCCCAAATATGGTGATCAGCTAAAACCTGAACATGTGGACAAGACTCACCAGCCAGACATCCAAGAAAGAATTCTCTATAGTAACTCAGATCTCACCCCATCTAACATTCCATCACAAGCCATTGGGCATATTTACCGCTAATAGTCAAAGATCAATTAATTGCCAAAATTAGGCTATCCCATCATACCATCCCTCCATAAACTTATCAAGCTTAGTCTTGAAGCCAGATATGTCTTTTGCCTCCACTACTCCCCTTGGCAGACTGTTCCAGAACTTCACTCCTCTGATGGTTAGAAACCTTTGTCTAATTTCAAGTCTAAACTTCCTGATGGCCCGTTTATATCCATTTGTTCTTGTGTCCACATTGGTACTGAAGGTAAATAATTCCTCTCCCTCCCTGGTATTTATCCATCTGATGTATTTATAGAGGGCAATCATATCTCCCCTCAGCCTTCTTTTGGTTAGGCTAAACAAGCTGAGCTCTTGGAGTCTCCTTTCATAAGACAGGTTTTCCATTCCTCGGATCATCCTAGTAGCCCTTCTTTGTACCTGTTCCAGTTTGAATTCATCCTTCTTAAACATGGGAGACCAGAACTGAACACAGTATTACAGATGAGGTCTCACCAGTGCCTTGTATAACGGTACTAACACCTCCTTATCTCTACTGGAAATACCTCGCCTGATGCATCCCAAGACCGCATTAGCTTTTTTCACGGCCATATCACATTGGCGACTCATAGTCATCCTGTGATCAACCAATACTCCGAGGTCCTTCTCCTCCTTTGTTACTTCCAACTGATGCGTCCCCAACTTATAACCAAAATTCTTGTTATTAATCCCTAAATGCATGACCTTGCACTTTTCACTGTTAAATTTCATCCTATTACTTATACTCCAGTTTACAAGGTCATCCAGATCTTCCTGTATGATATCCCAGTCCTTCTTTGTATTGGCAATACCTCCCAGCTTTGTGTCATCCGCAAGCTTTATTAGCACATTCCCACTTTTTGTGTCAATGTCAGAAATAAAAAGATTAAATAAGATTGGTCCCCAAACTGATCCCTGAAGAACTCCACTTGTAACCTCCTTCCAGCCTGACAGTTCACCTTTCAGTATGACCCGTTGTAGTCTCCCCTTTAACCGATTCCTTATCCACCTTTCAATTTTCATATTGATCCCCAACTTTTCCAATTTAGCTAATAATTCCCCATGTGGAACCGTATCGAATGCCTTACTGAAATCAAGGTAAATTAGATCCACTGCATTTCCTTTGTCTAAAAAATCTGTTACCTTCTCAAAGAAGGAGATCAGGTTGGTTTGGAACGATCTACCTTTTGTAAAACCATGTTGTATTTTGTCCCAATTACCATTGATCTCAATGTCCTTAACTACTTTCTCCTTCAAAATTTTTTCCAAGACCTTGCATACTACAGATGTCAAACTAACAGGCCTGTAGTTACCCGGATCACTTTTTTCCCCTTTCTTAAAAATAGGAACTATGTTAGCAATTCTCCAGTCATACGGTACAACCCCTGAGTTTACAGATTCATTAAAAATTCTTGCTAATGGGCTTGCAATTTCATGTGCTAGTTCCTTTAATATTCTTGGATGAAGATTATCTGGGCCCCCCGATTTAGTCCCATTAAGCTGTTTGAGTTTGGCTTCTACCTCGGATGTGGTAATATCTACCTCCATATCCTCATTCCCATTTGTCACCCTACCATTATTAAGCTCTTCATTAGCCTCATTAAAGACTGAGGCAAAGTATTTGTTTAGATATTGGGCCATGCCTAGATTATCCTTAACCTCCATTCCATCCTCAGTGTTTAGCTGTCCCACTTCTTCCTTCTTTGTTTTCTTCTTATTTATATGGCTATAGAACCTTTTCCTATTGGTTTTAATTCCCTTTGCAAGGTCCAACTCTACATGGCTTTTGGCCTTTCTCACTTTATCTCTACATGTTCTGACCTCAATAAGGTAGCTTTCCTTGCTGATCCCTCCCATCTTCCATTCCTTGTAGGCTTTCTGCTTTTTCTTAATCACCTCTCTGAGATGCTTGCTCATCCAGCTTGGTCTACAACACCTGCCTATGATTTTTTCCCCCTTTCTTGGGATGCAGACTTCTGATAGTTTCTGCAACTTTGACTTGAAGTAATTCCAGGCCTCTTCCGCCTTTAGATCCACAAGTTGTTCAGTCCAATCCACTTCCTTAACTAATTTCCTTAATTTTTTTAAGTTGGCCCTTTTGAAATCAAAAACCCTACTCACAGATCTATTTTTGTTTATCCTTCCATTTAGTTTAAACTGAATTAGCTCATGATCGCTCAAACCAAGATTGTCCCCTACAATCATTTCTTCTATGAGGTCCTCACTACTCACCAAAACCAAATCTAAAATGGCATCCCGTCTTGTTGGTTCAGCAACTACTTGGTGAAGGAATCCATCAGCTATTGCATCCAGGAAAAACTGAGCCCTATTATTATTACTAGCACTTGTCCTCCAGTCTATATCTGGGAAGTTAAAGTCTCCCATGATCACACAATTCCAATTAGTATTTACTTAATTAAAAACATTAAAGTGGTCTCTATCCATATCCAAATCAGATCCCGGTGGTCTATAGGACACCCCAAGCACTATCCCAGGGGAGGCTCTAGTAGCTTTCTTCCCCAATGTGATTTTTGCCCAGACAGACTCTGTCTTATCCATTCCATCACTTATTTCTTTACAGTCTACCTCATCATTGATATACAATGCTACTCCACCACCTTTGCCTTTATTTCGGTCTTTCCTAAACAGCACATACCCTTCGATATCTGTACTCCAGTCATGACTACTATTCCACCATGTTTCTGTTATCCCTATAATATCTGGTTTCACTTCCTGCACCAGTAGCTCTAGATTCTCCATTTTGTTACCTAGGCTTCTTGCATTAGTGTACAAGCATCTTAATTTTTGCTGTTTGGCTTCGCTCACATTCTTTACCTGATTAGGCATTGATATTCTACTGCCAGTATCACCTATTAGACTGGGATCTACACTACCCTTCCTCCTTATGTCTGTTCTCCTACCCACAGCTGTATCCTTTCTTACTTTGTTTTCTTCCCTCTCAATGTTAAAATCCGGTGTGGAGATTACCTGTACATCTCCCAACCATCTCCCCCAAATTCCTAGTTTAAAGCTCTCTTAATTAGTTGTGCCAGCCTCCATCCTAGAAGTCTATTTCCCTCCCTACTCAGGTGAAGTCCATCCGGAGAGAACAGTCCTCTGTCCATGAATGCCTCCCAGTGGCCATACATCCCAAAGCCCTCCTTATAGCACCACTGCCTGAGCCATCTGTTGAGCATCATAATCTTGTCACACCTTGTTGCCCTTCTCTAGGAACAGGCAGAATCCCACTGAAGATCACCTGAGCCTCAAATTCCTTAAGCGTCTTCCCCAGCCTTGCATAGTCTCCCTTGATTCGTTCCAGTAAGAATCTAGCTGTATCATTTGGTCCCACATGAAGGACAATCAGTGGATTCTTTCCCGCTCCCGTTAGGATCCTCTTCAGCCTCAGGTCCACATCCCGTATCTTCGCACCCGGCAGACAGCACACCCTTCTGTTCTCTGGATCAGCTCTGGTTACAGGCCTGTTTAATTCTTCTCAGTAAGGAGTCCCCAATCACGTAGACCTGCCTTTTCCTGGTGATGGTGTGATTCTCCGGTCTATCCCCTGTTCCCTCTGGCTGCAAGTCTTCTCGATTCCTATTCTCCCTTGCAGGGCCGGCTTTAGGCCGATTCGCCCGATTCCCCGGAATCGGGCCCCGCACCTAAGAGGGCCCCGCGCAGTCACCCTGACGGCGGTCGTCTTCAGGGGCCCCACTCTCCCGGCTGGAGCTCCAGCTGAAGCGCGGCAAGCCCCGCGGCCCCGCTCTCCCGGCTGGAGCTCTGGCT